CAGTGTCCTGGATCCCATACTGCATTCCACCTTTGATGAGCGTAGCCTGATCCATTCACCTTTGTTGGGCTCGAGTCCGTAATCACCAAGCAGGCTTGCTGGCAGCAGGTGTACAACACCACTGAGCAGCAAGGCACTGAGCCATGGTGCACCAGGTTCTCATGGACTCTTCCATCCCTTCTCCTCTGTGGTGCACTTCCGGTGCACTGGGGTTCTGGTGCACTGGTCTTCCGGTGCCGTGGGCAGCCCAAACGAAAGAGCTGGGCATCTTAGAGCTCCTTTACGCTTCAGTCTTCCTGCAGGAGTAGCTCATTCAACAAATTATGTTGCAAGCATTGCATAAACAGCTGAGGACAAACCCGGACCCTGCCCTCAGGTGGCTCACATCCTGGTGAGAGAGACGGACAATAAACCAAACAGAAGCAAACACAAGCCAGTTGTGGTGGTGGTGGTGGGAGGGGTTGCTGAAGAGGAAAATCAAAGCTGGGTGAGGAGGGAGAGGGAGTGGTGGGTAGGAGCCTCTGGTCCGCAGAGCCTGGAGAATACTGCTTCTCTGGTGATGACACATTTGAGCAGAGTCCTGAAGAAAGGGGCCTTCCAGAGGAAGGGACAGCAAGCACAGAGTCCCCAAGAAGAGGCAGCAAAGAGGTGGTGTGTCTGAAGAGTAGTAAGCAAGGGGAGGTTGTCGGGAAGAATTTAATCTCACCCCCAAAGAGTGCCATTTGCCTTCTGCTTTGGGGAGGCGGTTACTAAGCTCTACCAAGAGTGCCTGTTTGCCTGGGGCGGGGGGGGGGGCCTTCTAATAGCCTAACAATGCGATTTCAAGTAGGGACGTGGCACAGATTATATTCAGGCTGGAACTGAACACACAAGAAAAACCAATGTTGTGATGAGGGGGCTGCAGACTGAGATCACTAGGAGGACACTCAATTAATCACACCTGTGCAATGAACTCCAGTAAAAGCTCTGAGCACTTGGCCCTGAGGAACTTCCCTGTCGGCAGCACCATGTGGGCTGTCCCTCACGGGTGCTGAGAGGAGGGTTGTGTGCAGGCAGCTTACCCCTCAAGTCTGACACTCTCCTAGACCAGTCCCTGGGTGCTTTTCCTGCAGCTGGTCTTAATCAGCATCCTTCCTGTGCTGTAAACTGTAACCGTGAGTAAAGCGCTGTGAGTCCCTCCAGGAAATTGTCAACCTTGGCTAAGGGTCCACTTGGGGACTCCCAAACGTGCCATTGGTGTCAGAAGTGGAGGTGGTCCTGTGGGGACTGGTCCCTCCGAATGTTGTAGTTGGCCAAATGTAGGGGTTGAAGTAGGAAATCGAGAGGGACAGGGAGGTGCCAAGTCTTGGGGGGCTATTGGAAGGACTTTGTTTTTTAGTCTGAGTGTAATGGAAAGCTCCCAGAGGCTTTTGAGGAGGGACAGGTCTGGCTTTTGTTCTCAAAGAGTCAGTGTGTGAGGAGTAAGGAGAAGAGCTTGCTGCTCACATGTGGCAGTCATCATCATGAGAGAGGAGTGGCCCTGGTGTCAGGCACTGGTGGCAGGAAAGGGACTTTCTGAGGGCCCACTGTGGGGCATGATGGGGAGACCCGAGGTGAGGGGCTCAGAGGTTTTGGCTGTCCTGGAAGTTTGGCTGTGCTTTTTACTGAGGTGTTGATAGCTGTGGCTCGATTGAGGGTGCCCTGGCTTTGAGGTGTCCCATAGAGCTCCAAGGGTGGTTCAGAGTGGGCATATGGACTTGGAAGCCTAGGATTTGGGGGCTGGGGGTCCGTGCTGAGGCACACCCTGGGAGACATCAGGTGGTGTGAAGTGCTGCCTGACCACTACAGAGATTTGGCTGAACCCGGATGTGAGCTCTGGCAAGGAACAGGTGGAGTGGAGGGAGCCCAAGAGTGGGAGGAGCCCAGCCAAGCTGTTCCTGAGCAGTTTTGCTCTTGAAGAATTAGAGAGAAGCATGATGATGGAGAAAATGGATATGGAGATGACACCATGTCTCCCATCCTGATGGGACAGCCCAATAAAGCAAGGACTGAGGATGCAGGAGAAAGAGGGTGCTGTGACTGAAGCAGACCAGCTAGCATGTGGGGTGGGGTAGACCCGATGCGCCAGTGACATGCAGGTCTTAGAGGACAGAGCAATGTGTGCATGGTGGTGGGAGTGGGCCGGTGGAAGGTTTAGGGTGGAAGCAGTGAGAAACACTCTCCTGCTGACACTGATGTCTTCAGTAAAGCAAGACACAGAGCTAGCACAGGCAGAGGGCAGGGGCTGGTGTAGGATCGTCTTCCAGGAAGGCAGGAATCTGAATGGCCACAGCAGGTGGGCAAGGGTAGGATTGTCAGGAGGACAGTTCTGCCCTAGAAAGTGGTCTCCCCAAGGGAAAGCATCTCTCCAGCCATAGCAGAGAGAGTCACATTTACCCAGGACTGGGGTTCACTGGGCAAGTCTGTGATGTGAGAAAGGTGCTCAAGGGAGGTGAACAAAAGGAGGAGAAGAGCCATCGGTGGGTAGGTGGTGAAGACAGGGAGTTGTGTGGCTCCCAGTGCTGGTGAAGGCAGCCGTGGTCCTGCTAACAGGAGGGGGCCAGAGAGCACAGTGTTGTGGCTCAGAGTAGGCTTCTGGAGGGTGGTGACAACGGGGACCAGGCAGCGGGTGGCAGACCACAGGCTATGGTTGATAGCCTGTGAAATCACATAGAGAGTCACGTGCAGGATGTCATCAATAAAAATAAAACTGAAAAGAATAGTGTTAGGGCGTTACACAAGACAAGACTATGTCTTAAATCGTGAAATTTTTCATATGTATGTGTACTAGATCATAATGTAAAATGGGTTTTTAAAGCTTAAAATTTGCCATTTTAACTGTTAAGTGTATAATTCAGTAGCATTGATACATTAACATTGTTGTGCAGTCATCCACACTATCCCCCAAATTTCTCATCACCCCAAATAGAAATTTTGTACCCATAAAATGTATTCTTTACTGTGGTCATAGTTTAAAACATTTAAAAGGCACTGGTCAGTGGTCAGGAAAGGGGTCCACCCTGGGGGTCATTCAGAGGGCAAGATTCTTGCAGGAGAGGCGGCAATGAGCTGACAGGCCAGGGTACTGGATTCACATGCATTACATGCATCGATCCCTTAGATTTTAAGGAAAAGATGTATTTCTAAGGATGAAGCTAGGAACCACAATGCAAAGCACAATAGGAAATCTGGTGCAAAAATATTCCAAGAATGCAGGAATCCAAAGAAATGGAGCAGAAATCACCAACGTGCCTAACGAGCACATAGTTATTTGGGTATGTTAAATTCAATATTCTGCAGCCACTAAAATCATTCATTAAAAACTGCAGTAAGAGTAAAATGTCCCTTCTCGAAGCAAGATACAAAATTACATAAACGTTGACTCACATAAAAATTAGGATTTTTTTCAATAGAGGACTGGCTAAGATGCTTGCCAGTCTTAGTCTAACAACTGTTAAGTCTGTTAGTTTAAGTCTAACAACAAAAGCATAATATTTAAGACAATCTAAGGAATCTCTAAAATTTACAAGAGAAAGGAACTCCCCTACACTCAGTTGCAAACTGAAGATCTGAAAGTTGGAAATAGAAGCTACGAAAGACTTAATTAATAGTTAATGAAGAGATGCTAACACTCCTCTGAAAAGTGCATCTTTTTTTTTTTTTTTAAAGATTTTTTTTATTTATTTGTCAGAGAGCGAGAGTGAGCACAGGCAGATAGAGTGGCAGGCAGAGGCAGAGGGAGAAGCAGGCTCACCGCCGAGCAAACAGCCCGATGTGGGACTCGATCCCAGGAGCCCAGGATCATAACCTGAGCCGAAGGCAGCCGCTTAACCAACTGAGCCACCCAGGCGTCCCTGAAAAGTGCATCTTAAAAACAATCATGAGTTTCCACTTTGCAGCCAGGTTTGTAAAAGAGGGGGAGCTGGAGACATTGCCAGGAGAATGGCTGAGTTCTGACAAATGGATAGTATCCAGAGACCTTCTAAGTACAGTAATAAATCAGATGCACATCCAAAGACGCTGAGAGATCTTTACAGATACACTGCATTGCAAAAAAGAAACAAGATCTAAAGAAGGCGAACATTTATAAAAATGTTATATACATTGTGACCTCAACACTGTGGTTTTAAAAAAATTATGTAACTTAAGAAACAACCTACAGTGGAAAGCTTTGGGGCCAAAAAAATAATGACTTGAGAGTCGTAGAGGGATGGGGTGTGGACATGAAGATAGGATGGGCTGCCTGGGGGGCCGGGAGGGCCACCTGAAGAATGGAGCTTCCTGTCGAATCCGATCTGGGGGTTCTGAAGCAGAGAGCCAGATGCAGAGGTTCTCAGGCAGAGTGACTTGGAGGGTTCAGGGAGGATGGAGTGGGCGAGCGCGGAGGACCCGGTATTCTGGGAACCGAGTCTGCCAGTGGTCCGACCAGGGAAGCCCAAGTCCTGTGCACGGCCGACCCACGCGCCCCGCTTCGGTCCCGGAAGCTGTGGCCCTGACGTCCATGAGCCGACCCAGGCGTGCGGAGAGACCGAGTGGCCCGCGGGCTCCCCACCGTGGGGGAAGCCTGCAGGCGAAAACCGTGGGCTGAACACCCAAGTTCAGGACAGACCGCGCTTGCGCACTGCTCTCCTCTTTAAGCCCGCCCCAGGGCCCGCCCCTCCCCGCGGGGCCCCGCCCCCAGGCCCTTCAACCCTCATAGGCTGGCTCCGAGGCCGCGTTCGGCAGGCCGGCCAATGGGAGCGCGGCGCGCCCCGCGGCACGTGCGCCCCCGCCCAGCCCAGTCGAGTGCGAGCGGGTCCAGCTCCGGGGCGCGGAGCGCGCGGGGAGGGAACGCGCGGGAGGGGCGGGGCACGGGGCGGAGCGCGGGCGGGGGTGCGCGCTGATTGGCCGACGCCGCGTTCCGAGGTCGTTAACGGCGGCGCGGCGGGGCCGCGGCTCCAAAACAAAGGGCAGGCGGCCCGCGGGGCGGCGGCGGGAGGATGCCTCGCGCCCTGCGGAGGCGCCAACGGCCGCAGCGCGTCCGGGGCCGCGCCGGCGCCGCCTGAGAGCCGAGCCCGCGCTGACTGGGGCCCGGGCCGGATGGGCGCTGCGGGCCGGGGCGCGGACCGCCGAGCGGCCGTGAGTACGGGCGGGCCTGGACACTGTTGCGCGGGCGGCTACTCTGTGGCGACCCGAGGCTCCTGCGACAGCGGGCGGGGCCCGGAGGCACCTGTTGGGCGTCCGGGCCGGCGGGCGGGGCGCGAGCGGGCCGCACCTGTGGATGTTTTTGTTCTGATTGGATTTTTTGTTGTTATTTGGCTCACTCCGTGTTGGAGCAGACCACAAAGCCTGATCTTTGATTTTTGCCCTCCTTTCTTCCTTCCCTTCCCTGCCTCCTTCCCACTTCAGCCACGAAAAAAATTTACAGAGAGAATGAACTAGATGCCTGCTGATAATGGGCTTTTCCCTCTTTAACAACAACAACAAAAAAAATGTTGCGACCCGGAGTGAAATGAGGACAAAAGAGGGTTCCTAGGAATGTTTATTAGAAGAGGGGGATGTTTTCGAGTTACCCACATAAAGATCGTGACTAAAATGAATTGTTCTCTGTATCAGTTCCCTGCTCGTAGCACTAGGCTTTTTTTTTTTTTTTTTTTTTTTTAAAGCACAGCTTGCAGGAACCATAGCTTGGGAAACCTGCTCAGTAGGGTCCCCCTCCCCCAGGCCTGCCTCTGATTGACATCTTTGATGTCCAGATAATGTGCTGAGTTCCAGGATGGGGCGGGGGGGGAAGGCTATAATTTCATTTTGCAAAGATAATGGCTTTGGAAGACCTCAGTTTCCCCACCCCCAAGCTTTTTTGTTCAGTTGCATTTCTTCTTCCTCTTTTTGGCCAGAACACACACTTTAACCTGTTGTTTCCTTTGCCAAGAATGTTATTCTTTCCACCCACCTCCCTCCTAAACTAAGCAAGCCTCAAGAGGAGGCTTACCTCCTCTGGGGAACTCTTCCAGGTGCCTCACCTGAGCAAGCCGGCTCTCTCCCACACCTGTGCACCCTCCAGCCTCTGCTCCGTTCTAGTAGATGAGTCCCTGCTCGGTGCCAGGAGCTGTGCTGGATGCTGGGGTGGTTGAGTTTTGTAATTGTGCGCTGATTCCCTCTTACCCCTAGCCCCGGGTTCTTGGGTGACAGTCATGGTACACTTGAGGAATGCTAATACTGAAGCTCTCCTGGACCCTGATGCTCCCTTCCCTTGCCATCTCACAGGGTTAGAGTGTCTTCTCCTTTCAGGAGAGGTAGGACCAGAGCGAAATCCTGTCCCACCACAGACCTGTAGCACAGAGTCTGGCTTCTGTTGGGCACTTAAGAAAAAAAATAGCTGAATAATCTTAATTACCAATCTGAGCAATAGCCTTTGCTTTTTCTTTTTTCTTTTTTCTTTTTTTTTTTTTTTAAGATTTCATCTTTAAGTAATCTCTACACTCAGTGTGGGGCTCCAGCTCACAACCCTGAGATCAAGAGCCACAGTCTGCACCGACTGAGCCAGCCAGGAGCCCCCATAACCTTTGCTTTTTAAACGAACTTCTTGTTTTGTAATAACTTTAGATTTCTGTGAAAGTTGCAAGGGTAGTCCAGACAGCCCTGGTATGCCCCATGCCCAGTGTTCCCCAGTGTTAACGACCCTCTGCTGTCATGGTGCCTTTGCCAACATGAGCAACTGACATGGAGACATTCTTGTAGCCTAAGTCCAGACATTAAATCTTACCATTTTGAAGCCTTGGAATGTGTAAACCTCTTTAGGTTGGAAGCAGCTTTCCTATAAAATCTCTTCCTGATTTTCCTGCCTGTCGTCCCTAAGTTTCACAAGGACCTAGTGTCAAGGGACAGAGAGTGGAGAGGGCGAGGGGCTTCCGTAGAGTTTGAATGTATCCCTCCGCACCCCCGGGAGACTGAGAAACTAGAATATGAAGAGGCAGTATTCTTAGTTATTCGGTAGCATATATAACCACTTCGCTCTAGAGAGCTGTTCTGACGTGGGGAGCTGGCAAAACCAATCCTCAGCCACTGGGGGTGCTTGAAATGCTGAGGTCAAGTTGCCAGTAGAATCTGCCTGGGTGGATTTAATGCCAGGAAGATATAAAATTGGCATTTCAAGAAGCTGCTTTGCCGAAGTTGAATAACACAGATTCTGTTAGCCTCAGAGCCCCGACACAAACATAAGAAAGGGAGGAAAGCCCTCTGGTTAACTAAGCCCATTTTGCCTATTTATTGCTATCACTTCTAATTTGTGAGGGCACGGCAGACTGCGTAATGACACCTGTCCTCAACTTGCTGGGTTTTTTATTTTTGCCTTTTCCATATGTTCTGTTAGAGCTAGGTGCCTGCTGTAACTTCAGTAGCGACTTACCTATGTTTGTAGAAAATATGAAAACTTTGAAAAAGAAAAAGGCAGCAGCAATGGAAATCTTCCTTTCAAACTCTTCATTTGAGGTTCATTTGGTTTTCCATCTGTAGAAAAGTAGTTAGATCTGCTAATCAGCGAAACCTCTAGGGAGTGGAAATCTTGACATGAGATTTCAGGGGAGGTTGGAGAAAGTTCTGAACAACCAAGACATAGAGGGCTAAGGGTTCTGGGGAGGACAGCAGAGGTTGGATTCAGGAAGGAAGTCCCTGTTCCTTCTGTGATAGAAACCCTCTGAAAAGCTGTCTGCTGGTGAGAGAGAGATGGAAATCCTGGAGCCAATACCGTGTCATCCCCACCCAGGGAACATCCCCTTAATCTGGCTCCTGAAGAGCCTCAGAACCAGGACTTCCCAGTGGGGAGATGCGCTCGCCATCCCTCTGTCCCGCTGTCCTATAACAATGACACGACCTCTTATGTGATTGTCTGGACCACCTTGTGAATCGCAATTTACCCTCATTTTACAGATAAGGCAACAGCTTGGCTTGCGGTTCCCTGGCCACCAAACACGGGGCACAGTTTGAGCCAAGCGCTGTTGCAGCTTTGTCCCCGCTCACCCCCAGCAGCCTGTCTCTTGGCAAACCTCCCCTCCTGGGTCCCTTGGGCTGTCACCTGGCTTCCCAGTGTTGGCACTCTCACCCTCAAGCACTGGCCCCCTTCGATTGCTTTTTGCATCTCTGGTTTTTCCTTCTCTTGCTCCAACACAGGCCTTCAAATGTTTGATTATGTCCTTATCCCACCGTGTGTCCTGCTTCCATCAGCCTTCTGGGTCCCACCCTTTCAAGTGAGAAGGGCAGTGGTGTGTGTGTAGCTAGCGCCTTGGTCTCTCCCCCTGTCAATAGCAAGCAAGCCAGTAAACTCTGCGAGGAAGTGTCCCTAGGCCCTGACTGTGGGGAACGTTGTTACTAGTGGGAGAAATAGAAAAGAATGTATTACAGGTTGTTGGAAAAGAAGGGCTCAGTGCAAACACATTAATTAGTCTTGTAGGAGACAGATGGTGGAGGCAGAACCTAAGCAGCGGGGAGGAGGGGTGAGGACCAGGACCTGGAGGGCAGAGGAGCTAGGCCATGAGGTGTTGAAGTTGCACAGACACCCCTGCCCAGATTCTGGAGAAGCTGTGGGGCTTCATCTGGGGCCAGACAGACAGGTGGTAGGACTGAGGAAATTTTCTTGCCCCTCCCAGTGGGTCCACGGATCACCAAGCCTGCAGTTCCTGAAATGTGTGGAGAAGAGCATTTCATCCTGTAATTCCAGTGAGAAGGCAGACCGTGCGCGTGAAGGGAAGCTGGTTCTGCCAAAGGCAAACTGGCCTGCCATTGCCCTTTGACGTGAATCCTTCCAGGCCTTTCCACACCTGCGCTTTGTGTGTGTGTGTGTGTGTGTGTGTGTGTGTGTGAGAGAGAGAGAGAGAGAGAGATAGAGAGTGAGTGAGTTTGAGTAGTTGGTACATACCTTCGGTATCAAAAATCTAAAGTCACCGGGACGCCTGGATGGCTGTTGGTTAAGCATCTCCTTTGGCTCAGGTCATGATCCCAGGGTTCTGGGATCAAGTCCCACATCAGGCTCCTTGCTCAATGGGGAGCCTGCTTCTTCCTCTGCCTGCCGCTCCCCCTGCTTGTGTGCTCTAATAAATAAATAAAATATTTTTTTTTAAATCTAAATTGTTCAAAAAGCAAATGGTGAAAAGGGAGTCACCTTCCCCGTGCTTCCTAGACCCCAGCTGAGGTCCAGGGGCGTGTGCCCAAGAGCGCTGACAGGTGTTACCAGATGGCTGCAGCACAGCCAGCCCTCGCCAGTGGTGATAGCAACTTCTTAAAAATTTTTGCCCATCTGCTAGGTTGTAAGACCTACCAGACTCCCTTTAATTTGCTTCGATGAGTGAAGTTCACACAGGTTCATGTGTCTGCAAGGCACAGCGGTCCAGCTTTGAATCCACTGCTTACTAGCTGTGCAACCTTGGCAGGTTGGTTAAGCTCTCTGGGCCCCAGTTTCCATATCTGCACAGTGGGACTCAGAAGAATCCCCACCTCCGAGGGTTGCTGCCAGTTCGTCTGGTTCTTGTGAAGTCTGCTACTTAGAATAGTGTTGGCCTGGGCGGGGGGTCTCTGCATAGCCCCCATGTTCCCTTTTCCATGGAAGATGTGGATGTCCCTGCCCGAGCCACCCACCCGGGGTCCTACTTCCACCATGAACTCTGGCTAAATGCTTTGTATGCCCCCCAGGAAGGAGGAGGAGGAAGTAGAGGGCTGGAACTGAGCCTGTCACCAGGTAGTGGCAGGGTGGGGAGGTGGCGTGGAGAGTAGGGAGAATGGGTGTCCCAGGGTGTGGGGCCCTCAGGAGCCTCCATGCCATCCCGGAAATGTCAGAGCTGCCTGGCTGGGGCTTTATTTCTCAATGTTTTTGTCTTTCGAAGTGTGGTAACAGCACCATATGGACATGGGCCTGATTCACGTTCTCTTAAAATAATTATGCGTGTTTATTTTAGGAGAGACATTTCTGGAATCCAGAATATTGTTTTTGCTCCAAAAAATTACCCCACAGTAATATCTTCTGTGGGGGTGGGGGGATGGTTGCTGCCCTCCAAACCCAGGGGAAACATAATGTCCTATAGTAAACATGATTCACAGGACCCATCGACCCTTCTCTGATTCACGGAGGCTCCTAACTCGCCAGTAGC